TATGGACATTTTCACAATGTTAATTCTTACAGTCTAAGAGCATGGGATGTCTTTCCATGTTCTTGTGTCCTCTTTAATTACTTGTAACAGTGGTTGGTAGTTCTCTTCACAGAGATTTTTCACATCCTTGGTTAACTTTATTCCTACATATTTTATTTTTTTGATGACTATTGTAAATGGGCTAGCTTTCTTGATTTCTTTTTCTGCATGTTCACTGTTGGAGTATAGAAATGCTACTGATTTTTGTGTGTTGATTTTGTATCCTGCAACTTTGCTGAAATCATTTATCAACTCTAGGAGGTTTTTGTAGAGGCTTTTGGCTGTTCAATATATAGGATCATGTCATCTGCAAACATGGATGGTTTGACTTCATCTTTTCCAATCTGGATGCCCTTTATTTCCTTCTCTTCTCTGATTCCTCTGGCTAGTATTTCCAACACTATGTTGAATAAGAGTGGTGAGAGTGGGCATCCTTGTCTAGTTCCTGTTCTTAAGGGATGATATTGGTATATCATATCTGGTGGGCATATCATATATAGCTTTAATTGTGTTGAGATACTTTCCATCCATACCTAACTTGTAGAGAGTCTTTATCATGAAAGAATGTTGAATTTTGTCAAATGCTTTTTCAGCATCTATATATAGAGATGATCATATGGTTTTAGTCTTTGCTTTTATCGATGTGGTGTATCACATTTACTGATTTGCGTATGTTGAACCAACGTTGCATCCATGGGATGAATCCCACTTGATAATGGTGGAAATTTTGTGTATGTGTTGCTGTATTCTGTTAGCGAGTATTTTATTGACAATTTTTGCATCTATATTCATCAAGGATATTGGCCTGTAGTTTTCTATTTTTGATGTGTCTTTGTCTGGTTTTGGTATCAGGGTGATATTTGCCTCATAGAATGAGTTTGGGAGAATGGCCTCTGTTTCAATCTTTTGGAATAGTTTGTGGAGAATTGGTATCAATTGCTCTTTGAAGGTTTGGTAAAATTCTGCCGTGAACACATCTGGTCCTGGGCTTTTCTTTGTTTGGAGCCTTCTGATAACAGCTTCAATCTCTTTTATTTTTATTGGTCTGTTCAGATTTTCTATATCTTCCTGGCTCAGTTTTGGTAGTCTGTATGTTTCCAGAAATTTATCCATTTCCTCCAGTTTTTCAAATTCATTGGCATATAGTTGTTTATAGTAGTCTCTAATTATTCCTTGTGTTTCTGAGGTATTTACTATAATATCACCTTTTTCATTTCTAATTTTTGTTGTTTGGATCCTCTCTCTTTTCTTAGTTAGGCTTGCTAAAGGTTTGTCAATTTTATTTATGTTTTCAAAACCACAACTTTTTGTTTCATTGCTCTTTTTTATTGATTTTTGCGTTTCTATTTCATTTACTTCTGCTCTGATCTTAATTCTTTCTTTCCATCTACTAACTTCGGGTTTGGATTGTTCTTGTTTTTCTAGATCTTTAAGGTGAAGTGTTAAGTTGTTTATTTGCCATTTTTCCATTTTTCTGAACTAAATTTTTTGATTTCTTGTTTAGTTTCTTCTTAGACCCATATGTCATTAAGTATAATGTTGTTTAATTTCCGTGTATTTGTATAGTACCCATAGTTTCATTTGTTATTGATTTTTAATTTTAATCCATTGTGATCAGAAAAAATAACATGGAATAATTCCAATTTTTTTGAATTTGTTGAGACTTCCTTTGTGACCTAACATGTGATCTATCCTGAAGAATGTTCCATCTACTGATAAGAAGAATGAATATTCTGAGGTGGTTGGATGGAATGTTTTGTAGATATCTGCCAAGTCCAATTGGTCTAAAGTGTTGTTTAGATCTTGTGTTTCTCGGCTGATTCTTTGCCCAGATGATCTGTCCAAAGTTGAGAGTGGGGTGTTCAGGTCCCCTGCTATTAAGTGTTAGAGTCTATCTTATTCTTTAGATCTAATAGTGTTTGCTTTATAAATCTGGCTGTTCTGACATTGGGTGCATACATATTTATGATTGTTATGTCTTCTTGATGGATCAATCCTTTTATCATTTGTGTATTGGCCCTCATTATCTCCCTTTATGGTATTTGCTTTAAAGTCTATTTTATCTGATATAAGAATAGCTCCTCCAGCTCATTTTTCATTTCTATTTGCATGATATATCTTTTTCCATCCTTTCACTCTTAGTTTATGTGTGTCTTTACAGGTGAGCTGAGTCTCTTAAAGGCAGCATATAGTGTGTCCACCTTTTTAATCCAGTCAGTCAGTCTGTGTCTTTTGAGTGGGGAACTTAATTCTTTTACATTAAAAGTTGTTACTGAAAGGCATTGATTTACTCCTAGCATTTTATTGATTTTTGTTTAGATGTCTTAAGTATCTTTTGTTCCTTTCTTTCAAATTTTGTTTGTCTTCTGTATTTTTTGGTTTCTTGGGGTGGTAGATGAACTTTTTTTTTCTTTATTGTTAGCACTTTTGTTTTTCTGGTAGGTTTTGTTCTTTCTTGAGTATTCATGGCAGTGATGGTTGTTTTTCAGGTATCAAACCGAGTACTTCCTTGAGAATTTCTTCTAAGGCTCACCGTGTAGTAAACTCCCACAGTTTTGTTTGTCTGAGAAATATATTATTTGTCCTTCATTTCTGAAGGATAGCCTTGCTGAGTATTCTCGACTGGCAATTTTTGTCCTTTAGTATTTTGAATATATCATCCCATTCTTTTCTGGCTTTTAGGGTTTCTGATGAAAAGCCTGATGTTATTCTGATTGAGGCTCCCTTATAGGTGACTTGCTGCTTCTCTCTTGCAGCTTTTAAGATTCTCTCTTTGTCTTTGAGTTCTGCCAGTTTGACTATAACATGTCTTGGAGAGGATTTTTTGGGGTTGAATATGTTTGGGGATCTTTGGGCCTCCTGAATCTGAAGATCTGTGACTTTCCCTGTACCTGGGTAGTTTTCTGCTATTATTTTGTTGAATATGTTTTCAATACCATTTCCTTTTTCCTTCCCTTCTGGAATACCCATGATTCAGATATTTGAGCACTTAAGGTTGTCTGTTATCTCTCTTAGATTTTCTTCAATGTGTTTAATTCTTTTTTCTTTTTTCTGGTCTGCCTGTGTTAATTCAAACAGACTGTCTTCAAGGTCAGAAATTCTGTCTTCTGCTTGTTTTAGCCTGCTGGTTAGACTCTCTGTTGTGTTTTTTATTTCATTGAATGAATCCTTTAGGTCCACAAGCTCTGCTACATTCTTTTTCAAGGCATTGATTTCTTTGAATATTTCTTCTTTCAGATCCTGTATATTTTTTCTCATTTCATTATGTAGTCTGAGTTTTTTTGTATCTCATTTAATTTCCTTAGACTTGTTGCTCTAAATTCCTTGTCAGTCATTTCAATGACTTCCTGTTCTATAGGATCTAGAGCTTGAGAGTTATTATTTTCCTTTGGTGGTGATGCACTTTCTTTTTTTTTTTTTTTTTTTTTTTTTGTCCTTTTTGAGACCAGCTGCACCGCGCTCAGCCAGTGAGTGCTGTGAGCAAACCGGTCATCCCTATATAGGATCCAAACCTGCGGCGGGAGTGCTACTGCGCTCCCAGCGCCGCACTCTCCCGAGTGCGCCACGGGCTCAGCCCCACTTTATTGATTTTTCATATTTCTGGTATCTTTCCTTTGGTGTTTAGTCATTGTGGCAGGGGGTATCACAGTCCACTCGTTTCACCCTGTTGTCTGGCTTGGATCCTCAAGGGACTGCCAGTTCTGGGCAGTGGGAACTAGCCTGGGTTGGGGGTCCCATGGTCCCTGCCTTTTCCAGTGTGACTGACTCGGGGCCTGTGGGCCCAGAGGCTCTTGGGCCTCTCTAAGTGGTGGGGACTGACCTGGGCTGGAGGTCCCATGGCACCTGCCTTTGCCAATGTTGCTGACTCAGGGCGTGTGGGCCCCGTGGCTCTCAGGCCTCTCTGGGTGGTGGGCATTGGCCTGGACTGGGGCCCTGCAGTGTGAAGCTCCTGCCTGTTCTGGCACAGATCTCAGGCCTCCTGTTGTTGCTTTGTAATAGTTGCAAATTGGTTGATTTGTGGAAGAGAGCAACACTAGGAACCATCTATCCCGCCATCTTGACTGGAAGCCTTATTTTGAGATTATCACTAAATATAGTATTTCTCAACTTCTGATCATTTGCCTACCCCTTTACCGTTGCTACATACCAGCACTATCATTATTTATCTGATTTTTTAAATTCATTCTTTTGCTTTAAAAATTTGGCAAATTATTGAGATATAATCAACATAAAGTAAAATTTAGTCTTTTAAGGTGTGCAGCTTCATAAGTTTTGGCAAACATAGACAGTTGTGTAACCACCACCACATTCAATATACACATTTCTATCATTCCAAAAAGCTTTCTCATGCCCTTTTATAGTCCATGTCTTCCCCACCCTCAGCCCCAGCAACCATAGATCTGATTTCTGTCCCTACAAATTTTCCTTTTTCAGATTGTCATTAAAAAAAGAAATATACCGTATGCCTTTTTTTTTACTTTAATTTGTTTTTAAAATGAAAACTTAACCTCACTATCATAAAGCATGGGTGTGATGTTCTAGTCATATTGTAATACATGCTAAATCACATATAGAACTATAAAGATTAAAGCACGCCCCCTAAACCATAGTTTCTGCCTCCTTTGGGAAACACCAAACACCTGGGCTGGGCCAGGACAGAGTGTAACCAGGGTGGGAGCAGCACTTGACCGAGAAACACGCAGGCAAGCCCCAGCGGCTGAAGGCAGAGGTGGAAGGGAGTCTCCCACGCAGACGGAGGGCATTGGAGCAGGTGGGAGGACGACAGGAACAGGGGATCACGAGGAACTGACCCCTGGATTTCTAGGCAGCTGTTCCTTGACGCAGCCCCAGGGTTTATGGACTGTTAACAGTCTCCGTGTGGACAGCAACAAGAGTACAGGAGGACTCTGAAGTCAGAGCTTCTGCATCAATAGGTCAATTGCAAGAGGTAGAAAACCTACCTGAAAGATCTGCATCATCAAGAGCTGTGATGAAGGGTGATATGTGGTGTTTTCTTCCCTTATGTTCCAAATTAAGACACGTCTTCACTTGCAGTTGTGTTCACCTGGCTGTCTTCTAGACTGCAAGTTCCACCCATCTCTCAGCAAGTTGGAGACAACAGGAGGAGAATCTGAGCAGGAGAAAAGGGGGACTTGTGAGTGGACCGTATACTGCTGCCAAATCATCATCTCAAGAGCAAGACAAGACCAGGCGAGAATAACTTAAACTGCGTATTTACATTATACTTTAAATTATGGAGCCAGGTGGAAGATGACAGCCTGAAGTCAGTACGTCGCGTAGTGCCCCTTTCTAAATTAGCAGAACGGCTTGAGCGGACAAGGCGGTATGAGTTGCTGAGACTCTTGGGCAGTCTGCCACTCTCTATGGAACAGTAGGACGTGCACACCCTGTAGCTCAGTGGCCCCTCTGAGCGACACAGCAGCACGGAAGGATCCCACACCAGTGCTTTGGGTGCAGGCTGTTTGTAGTGGCTTAAGTATCACTGAAGGAAAAGCTAACCAAAGACACAATGCATTGTGTTTGCATTTATAGAAAGAAATTGCTTTGTTTTATAATCGACTACAGCAAGATGACGTCTAAATGCATTGTTCACTTTAATACCCAAAGACAAAATGAGGGTCAATAGATTTTGAGAACAGTGAACCTTAGGCAAGCTTCCTGGCGAATCCTTTACATTCACTGTTACATCTTCAAATCACCATTAATTTTCACAAAACCACTCTTTTACTACTTATGTAATTATCTGAGCAGTGTTTCTAAAACATGTCAAACAACTAAGCTCTGTGAAGAATCTATATGTGTGGAGAGAAGCAGAGTTCATTCACATTAAGAAAATTGTTGCCTTTTTCTCCTTATGTGTCCAGAGCTTGAGAACAAAGCTGAAATACATTTGGTTTTTGGATTCCCCTTAACCTTGAAAATCTAGCTGACAAAACCTTTATTGTTTAGTAGCTAACCTTCATTCTTAAAAATAAATCATATTTCTGATCTCACATTTTCCCTACAAAGCAGGTGTACATTTCTTGTACAATGTCTACCAATTGGAAGAATTAATTGTGATACCCAAGTAACAAAAAATATTACACTGGTTGTTTTTTTTGTTTGTTTGGTTGGGGTTTTTTGGTGGCTGGCCAGTGCAGGGATCCAACCCTGGACCTTGGTGTTATCAGCAACATGCTCTAACCACCTGAGCTAATCAGCCAGACTGCTTGACTTTTTTAGGTGCTTAACTAATATTACTATGAAGTGAAATTTTTTATTACTATATACTCATTTAATCTGTGACATTAACAGTAGTGAATATATCCTTAGGAAAAAAAGTAATACAACAACACTTCTTTTTACTTCTTTACTTAAAGTAAACAAGATGATTAGATAATGAATTTTGTCTGTACTGGTAAAACAAATAGACCACCGTAACCATGCTTAGAAGGTTTTCCTGTCATTAGTATCTTCAGTGACACGGCATTGCACCTTTAAGTAATCGGTTAGTACCAACTGCTTCAAAAAGACAATCCATGATATGACTGTTATCCCGTGTGGTGTATACCCACACTTGCAGCCTGTGTGATCAGGCTGTGGTTTGTTGCTTCTTAAAGCACTTCCTCTGTTTTTCTGTGAGAATGCAGTTGGTTGTCCCATGTTTGTTTATTTACATGCCTTTTTGTTCAGTGTTAGTTGTAGATATGTACTAGTTTGTTCCTTTGAATATTCAAGCTTGCTCAAGTAAATAGTGAGTTTGATGTAAGAATGAATAAAAACCAAAAAAAATCAGTCTTATTCAGGGATCTCAGAACAGAGACAAACCCAACTCCTGAGCCACATTCCCAACTTCAAATTCCTGAGAAAAAATATGCAATTGATCCAGTGATCCAGTTCATCTTTATAACAGTGCTCACAGAATTCTGGCTGGTCTACTTATTGGCTACTCTTGAGCCGGATGCTTACTCCTAGTCCAGTCAATTGTGCATAGGGTGAATGGGTTCCTGATATGTAAATATGGCTGTAAAACCTGAACAAGGCATTGCACAAGAGAGTTTGTCTGAGAGAGGAATGTGAGAACATTTCATCTGTAGCACATAGTGAATGCGAGAGATGACATCGCTATTGCTTGCTGAGTACTTGTTTTTTGTTTTTTTTTTTTTTAGTGTTCGTTTTAAATTTTACACATGCGTATTGTTTTTTTTTTTCGTTAAATTTTTATTTTGTCAATATACAATGTATATGATTATTATGGCCCATCAACGACACCTCCCTCCCTCCTCCCTCTCTCCCCTCCCCCCCAAGAATGTCCTTTCCGTTTGCTTGTTGTAACAACTTCATAAAAGTATAGTTGTTATATCTTCTTCCCCACCCCT